CCGTTGGTCTCTCAAGTGGAGGTCAGTTCGTAAACATTTGGTCCAAATACTAAACCTTAGTACTGTCTAAGGGGCAGAGGAGACTCATTTTAGACTGTTTTGTCTAATGTGCCGGTAAGAGTTACCCTCCTGTCGTCGCTGCTCCATGGGGAAGTTACGGCCAGGGAACACTCTCTTCCCACAAGGTTAAAATCCAGCGCAAGCCTACGGAGTAAGAGTGTGTCTTTTCCTCTGTGGATCCCGGAGACTCGGTTTTGAGCCTGACTCAGAGGAGGTGCTTCATAAATACCTTTTGAATGAATGAGTGGATGAATGAGTGAGTGAATGAATGAATGAATGAATGAAGAATGAATAAAGGGATGCCTAAGCATATCTTCAACCTTGGCTCTACCATTCTCATACTATCATGTGGTATGTAGAATACGGCTTCTATCTTGACACTTACTGATAGTAAAATACGGCATTCGAAATTTGTGGCCCGGCCAGTGTAGTTCAGTGGTTAAGGGTTAACCTATGAACCAGGAGGTCACGGTTTGATTCCCACCTGGGACACATGCCCGGGTTGCAGGCTGGATCCCCGGTGTGGGCATGCAGGAGGCAGCCAGTCAATGATTGTCTCTCATCATTGATGTTTCTAACTCTCTATCCCTCTCTCTTCCTCTCTGTAAAAAATCAATAAAATATTTTTTAAAAAGAAGACTGATCAGAATAAAATTGAAATCAGATAGGTATAAACTTCAGTGTATTTGAGAGCATTTTGTTGAAATGAGAAAGGGAGTAGGAAAATGTCAACCAGGAAAGTGACAATTTTGTTGCTTAAAAGGTTGTCATCGACCGAAACCGGTTTGGCTCAGTGGATAGAGCATCGGCCTGAGGACTGAAAGGTCCCGGGTTCAATTTCGGTCAAGGGCATGTATCTTGGTTGCGGGCACATCCCCAGTGGGGGGGGGGTGTGTGCAAGAGGCAGCTGATTGATGATTCTTTCTCATCGATGTTTCTAACTCTCTATCCCTCTCTCTTCCTCTCTGTAAAAAATCAGTAATATATATATATATATATATATATATATATGTATATATATATATATATATATATATATATTTAAAGTTGTCATCGTGTCTCTACCCGTATGTCGGAGGAGGCAGGTAACACTGTGACCAAGGCATATAGCGGCCCAGAAAGACGTGGTTAGTGCCGACATGGCACAGCACACCCCAAGCTCTGACAGCCAGTGTCTCTAAAACACAATTTCCTCTGGACCAGTCCCTAGGGCCAGCCAGCCTTCTGGACTTCATTTGCTTTCCTCGATGAGTTAATCTGCCAGGGAGAGAATGTATTGACAGGCAGATTGGAATGTCTGGTCTGCCTGGCAGTCATAATTGCAAAGTAAATTCATAAATTGTCTCTCCGGCGTACGTTAGTCTCCGGCGAGTTTTATTGCGTTTTCTCCGCCATCCAGGGCTCTGATGGCCTCGATTGGGTGCGCTCTCGATGCCTCCAGTCCTAAGCTGGGAGGTCAGATGTTGGACTTTGGTAACCTCATTAGGAGACACAGCCTGGGGAGGCCCAACCCAGAGCTAGTTTCTCATCAGGAACATTATAATTACCAGCCCACGGGATCCAATGCCTCCCAGCGCTCATAGTTACCACTCAGCCTATGCATTCTTTGATAGCTCGGCAAGGCCACCACTGTCTCCCATAAACTAACAAATCCCCAAATCATGCTCTCACGTGACTGTCTCCATTGGCGGATTCTGCCCATGATGCAACTTTCACCTCTAAGAATGGGAGGGGGAGAAGGGAGAGAGAGAGAAAGAAGGGAAGAGAGGGAAGAATGTATGAATTCAGGAGTCAGTTAGCTTGGTCTGAATCCCCAGGTCTACCACTTTGTGGCTATGTGACCTTGAGCAAGTTACTTACTATCTTAGTGCTTTCCTGTCCTCATCTGGAAAATGGGATCATGGGCCCTGACCAGTTTGGTTCAGTGGATAGTGTCAGCCTGAGAACTGAAAGGTCCCAGGTTCGATTCCGGTTAAGGGCATGTACCTTGGTTGCAGGCACAGCCCCAGTAGGAGGTGTGCAGGAGGCAGCTGGTCGATGTTTCTCTCCCATTGATGTTTCTGACTCTCTGTCCCTCTCCCTTCCTCTCTGTAAAAAAAAAAAAAAAAAAAAAAAAAATCAATGAAATATATATTTTTTAAATGGGATCATAGGATCTACTTCGTCTCTTGTGAGGATTTGAGTTAATGTGCAAAATTACTGAGGCTGGTACCTGACACACTGAGAATGGCTTTGCATTTCATTCCCGATACATTTTCTAATAGATGGCACTTCTGCATTTTGCCTTCAAAACTGTAAAAGTCCCAGAACCAATTTCTTAAGTGCAGAAAATGAGCAAGCATAGTGCCCACTGGTTATGGAAACATGTATCCCACAGATGTAAAAATAGCAAGGTTGTGCTTGTTAAATGTTAATGTAGGCATCGACTGGGCATCTCATTAAATGCAGATTTTGATGCCCCTGGGGCTGGGGCCCAGAAAAGTCTGCATTTCTAGCACCTTCCTCGGTGATGCTCACGGTGTTGGTGTGTGGACCACACGATGAGTCACCAGCCTACGGATTGTGTGAGTCAAAGGGGGAAAAAAAAAAAAAAAAGAAGTAGGAGGAACAACCCTAGCGGGTTTGGCTCAGTGGGTAGAGCATTAGCCTGCGATTCTGGCCAAGGACATGTACCTCAGCTGCAGACTCCTCCCGGGCCAGGCCCTGAAGGGTCCCGGGTTTGATTCGCGTCAAAGGCATGTATCTTGGTTGTGGGCACATCCCCGGTGGGGGTGTGCAGAAGGCAGCTGATTGATGTTTCTCTCTCGTGGATGTTTCTAACTCTCTATGCCTCTCTGTAAAAAATCAATAAATATTTTTTTTTTCAAAAAAGAAAGAAAAATATCCTTGGATGAGGATTAAAAAATAAAAATAGAAGTAGGAGGAAGAAAGGAAAATATCGTATTTGAAATGCCCGGAGAGTCCTGGCTGGGTAGACTCAGTTAATTTGCATACTCACTCCTGATTGGTTGGTGGGCATCACAAAAGTATGGTCAATTTGCATCTTACTCTTTTATTAGTGTAGCTTTTTAAATGTCATGTAATATCTCTTGTTAAAAGCATCTTTCAATGACAAGAGTATTGTTTTTGATGAACACTGATTTAGGATTGTTTGCATTCAGATCTATGGTCCATCATCTTAAATTCATTTTTGTGCGGTAGGGGGGTCATGGTTCATATGACCCACCAGGGATGCTTAGCTGTTTGGGTGCCATTTGTCTAAGACTTTCCTGCTCTGTTAGACTCCTTTGCTGACCTTTGTCCAAATTCAGGTGGCCATGCAAATATGAATTGGTTTTTAGGTTCTCTCTTCTAGCCCACTGACTTCCTTGCTGAGCCTCAGGGACAGTATCACATTGTCTTGATTACTGGGTACTCCTTGTGTTGCTTTCAAAAATATATAAGCCTTGGCCAGGGGTCAGGGGCAGGCTTAGGTCAATGAGGGAAAGAAGGGAATAGGTATAATACTTCCGATAATAAATATTTATTTCAAAACAATGTAAGCCTCTATAGAAGAGCGTACATCCATTAAGTTGAAATGAATGGGATCAAGATTAGCCTACAATAAGTCTTACAGAACCATTTTTAAAAATTATATTATGGCCAAAACCGGTTTGGCTCAGTGGTAGAGCGTTGGTCTTCGGACTGAAAGGTCCCGGGTTCGATTCCGGTCAAGGGCATGTACCTTGGTTGATGTTTCTCTCTCATTGACATTTCTAGCTCTCTATCTCTCTATAAAAAAATCAATAAAATATATTTTAAAAAATATATATATATATATGGCTTTGAAAACACTCCATAATTACTGTATCCAGAGCAAAATATATTCACTCACAAGCAAGCAGAAAACTAGAAATTCTTTATGACCTCCAACTGAAATTATATTAAAACTAGAGGCCCGGTGCAAGAAATTAGTACATGGGGGGGTGGGGAGGGAAGGGGTCCCCTCAGCCCAGCCTGCACCTTCTCTATACTGGGACTCCTTGGGCAGTTGGACATCCCTCTCATAATCCTAGACCACTGGCTCCTAATTGCTCACCTGCCTGTCTGCCTGCCTGATCACCCCTAACTGCCCCCCATGCTGGCCTGGTCACCCCTAACTGCCCCTCCCCTGCCAGCCTGGTTGCCCAATGCAGCCTACTTATTTATAGTCATTTGGTCGTCCCTCACTAACCCCCCTGCTGGCCTGGTCGTAGGCAGCCATCTTTGTGAGGGCATGAGGGTCAATTTGCATATTACTTCTTTATTATATAGGATATTCTATTAACTTTTCTTCTCAATTTCCCACCAGGTTTTGTCATATTATTTAATAATACCACAACGAAGTAAGCTTTAAAACAATCCTTAAAAAAGTCATGTTTAAAAAAAGTCACGTGTCTGAGGCTGGAAGATACTCTCTCCCATAATAAAATGTTAAAAAGTCATGTATCAATTTCAAAAATGTGCCCCGAAAAGTAGATCACAGTTTTTAAAATCTCCTTTAGAGTTTAACTTGGAAAAGAAGATTAGGAACAAGAACATAGCAATATTTTTATAAAAGAAGGAAAGCAACTTCCAAAAGCAATGGGAAACAAACACCTCCCCTGGGGGCAAACCGCACATGTCTCTTGGGAACTGCTGGACTAGTTTTGTTCAAATTGTCACACAAGGACCCTGCACCACCACTATCACCCTTTTTTTTTTTTTAAAGGGACATATGCTTAATCTTCAAATCTCCAATATTTTACAAAAATGTATCTTAACAGCTTGAAAAAATGTTGCCCAGCTGAGTGTACCACCAGAAATCTTAAAGACTTGACACTCTGTTCTTAACCTGAAATATTGCTTTGATGTAGGACTCCTTCAGTAAACAGCTTTATAACACAGAAAGAAATAACCCATTAAAGAAATAACACATTAAAGAGTTTGTAAAAATAAAGTTGGGATGTTTATTACTTTTTCTACTGGCAGCATGAAAATCACTAGAAACTGTACTTTTGTCCTTTCAAATAATCTGCACTAAAATCATACTTTTCCAAATAATTGATATAGAAGATAAAATTCAGTTTAAAAATCCTTAAAATACTTAGATATCAAAGACAGAAATACTGATTTTTCTTTTATTCCATTAAATGATGAGAACAAGAGATCCAGTTTAATCAAGAGCTGACATTTGTAAATTTCAAGCTTTTAAGTGAGCTAAAAGATCAAAGGGTTAATGATATCAGTTACAGGTAGAGAAGATCATCTGTGCGTTTTCTAGATTCATTACGGCAGCTACGTACGTACGTGGGGAAATCACAGAATTTCTCAGATCCAGTGTCAAATAATGGGATTTGGGCAAGTGTTCTTGACATCACCTTTATTTTAACAGGCACTACATGCACACAATGCAGGTAGGGGGCTTTTATGAATCCATGCAGTAAAGACAAGACGGACTGGACTCCTGCCCAGTGTGCACTGAGCCAGTCAGGGTGCTGCTCCGCGTTCCTCATGCTCAGTGGTTTCCATGGAAATAAAGGCAGAAGCAGACGTGTGCACACGCCACAGCATCCCCTTCATTTGGTCTCCTGTGCTTTCTTTGCATTCTGTTTTTCTTTTGCCTAGAGATTAAAGGTAGCATCTTACAAAATCTCAAAGGTCTGCTTTAGAGCATATTGACTGTACTCGGCACTTGTCAAAAAAAAAACCAAAAAACTGCTATTCAGTACTTATTTTTTTCTCCGCTCTACCATAAGTTGCTTAAGAAAGAAGAGGTGTTTTATTCCTGTGTACAGCCACAGGCTTTAACAGAGTGCCCGATCTACAGCTGCAGCTGGATAAATGCTGAGTAATTAAAACATTTCAAACATTTTAAATAACAACCTGAGTTCTCCTCAGAATCTAGGGAGAGAACATTGCATACAGACAAGAAATAAACATATTTCAATATTGTCTATGCAGTGTGCATAGTGAAAAAGCAGTTTGGAGAAACAGACAAAAGCTCCGAGGTCAGTAACAACCTCTTCAATAACACAAATGCATCAGCAAGGACAGACTGGATTGTGTTCCATTAACACCAGACATTCACACACTGCCACCCTGTGAACACAACGGGAACGGCGGTTCTAATGCAAAAGCTGAAAAGCTATGTTATCCTAATATGCTTTTTTAAAAATAAAAAAATCTGGAATTATACTGTCATTAAAACTAATCAAGAATTGTCCTTTCCTGCCAAAACTGGTGTGGCTCGGTGGATAGAGAAAAAAAAAATATATTTTTAATCAATGTTTTATTGATTTTTTACAGAGAGGAAGGGAGAGGGTTAGAGTTAGAAACATCTGCCTCCTGCACACCTCCCACTGAGGATGTGCCCGCAATCAAGGTACATGCCCTTGGCTGGAATCGAACCTGGGACCTTTTGTCCACAGGCCAATGCTCTATCCACTGAGCCAAACCGCTTAGGGCAGAAAGAAATTTTAAAAATGTTTTTTATTGACTTTAAGAGAGGGAGATAGCCGAAACCGGTTTGGCTCAGTGGATAGAGCGTCGGCCTGTGGACTGAAAGGTCCCAGGTTCAATTCCGGTCAAGGGTATGTACCTTGGTTGCGGGCACACCCCCAGTAGAGGATGCTTCTCTTTGACTGATGTTTCTCTCTCATCAATGTTTCTAACTCTCCCTCTTCCTTCCTCTCTGTAAAAAAAAAAAATCAATAAAATATATTTTAAAAAAAAAAAGATTTGTTAGTAGCTTAAAGAAAAGGCAATGTTTTAAACGTCATTCTAATATAGCACAGCCTGAACTGTGACATGGTGGATTCTAAGAGGTGAGGCAGTGGGACAGCCCTTGTTTCTGGTGTACAGATAGCTGGCTGAACTAATGCTCACCTAGAATCTAAAACAAATGAAAGTCAAACAAATGAAAGTCAAAAAGCTTCAACACATTTACCTCTACTTAAGCTAAGACAAAATTTTGTTTTTGGAGAATCTAAATCTAATTTAATATAGTCAACAATATTGTAATAACTACCTAGGGTGACGGCCCCTAAATGGTCAGAGGTAATGTATATAATGTCTGTCTGCTGTGCTGTACACATACAAAACAGTATTGAATGCCAACTGTAATAAAAAAATAAATTCCACAAGGACAAAAAAGATATGAGTTTGTTCAGCATTAAAATCCTTACCTTTTCTACTAGTGGTATTAATTGCTGGTGTTCTGCTAACGTCTTTAACAATTCCATAATGAACGGCAGGTAATTATGTTTCCTTCTGATATTTTCAATCTGAAAATAAAACAGGTATCAAACCACACTAGCTTTGCATTTCCACTAAGCTTCTGACATTCTGATTTTGCATACAACTCAAAATCGAAATAACTATTAGAAATAATGAGATCCAGTTCCCACTGAGAATAAAACTAATGTAATAAACATGTGGAGACTTTCTGAGCATGGCTTACTACTACAGACATAATTAATCTTTTTATAAAACCTAAAAAGATTGAAAAGCAAAATTTTAAAAAATAAACTCACTTGTGTGTCAAATTGGTAATAGAACCACACAAAGAGAAAATTTTTCAAGTAAATTTCAAAACATAGTATTTTGATTATACATTTAAGATAGGATATATCCCTAAGGAAAAAAATGACATTCCTGGTATTGTTATTCTGAGATGTATATAGATGTGTGTGTGTGTGTGTGTGTGTGTGTGTGTGTGTGTGTATCTCCTATATAACAAAAGCCTAACATGCTAAGTGTCTGGTTGTCCGTTCAACCAAAGTAATGATATAATTAGCATAATATGCTAATGATATGCTAAAACTGCTTGCTATGACATGCACTGACCACCAGGGGGCAGACAGTCAACCACTTGTTGACATGTACTGACCACCAGGGGGCTGAGACTCCAACCAGTAGGTTAGCTTGCTGCTGGGGTCTGGCAGATGGGGATTGAGGAAGATGGCCTGACAGACCCTGGAGCCCTCCCACGGTCCCTCCCCGGCTGGCCAACCTCCTGCGTCCCTCCCTGGTCTTGATTGTGCATGCACCAGTGGGGTCCCTCGGCCCGTGCCCTCTCTCAATTTGGGATCCCTCAGGGGATGTTGGAGAGCCGGTTTCAGCCCAATCCTGCAGGCCAGGCCAAGGGACCTTATTCATTTGTGCACCAGGCTCTAGTATGTATAGCATAAAGCATGTAAATATCTCTTTACATACAAATGCAATATATTTGTAGCATAAAGCAAATAAGTAATTGTGTTACTGTTGTTAGGAACCAAGATTTTCGGATTAAGAGAAAAGATCAAATGCTTAACTTCAAGTATAAACTCTTTAATCCTAAATATGAACATTAATAGGAACTCTCATTATAGTTTTCTCTTTAAAAATTAAACAAAAAAATATATGTATATGTTTCTTAGCTCTGAAAGGGTCTAGAAATAAAGGCCAATCAGTATCACTGAGAATCCAGAGAGATGGCTTCTAATACCACTTCCACCAAAGGATCCAGAGCTTCTTGAAGAAATGGTGGATTCCAGGTCTGAGGCGGGAAATGTAAAAGATGGGCCTGACACACATGTTACTTGAACAGAAGCTACAAAGGATGAACAGTCATGTCAAAGGACACAGGAGGCAGTTTGCAGTGACCCCTACTGGCCAAAGGGGGGATAATTTGAGCATCAGCAATATCTGCAGTGAACTTTAGGTTAAAAATCTGTTCATAATACTTTTTAAAAAATTTAAAAAACAGTTCACTAGTTATTTTTGTAGAATGCCAGGGAATCAACTCATTCTGAAAACTAATAAATAATGGGAGAAAAGTGATCACTATTATACATACCTTCATGTCAAAATAAACCACCCCATTTTAAAACATTAAAGGAACAAAACTTTTTAAATACCTTATATCTTTTTAATTTCTGCATTTCTTCTTCAATGAGCATCTGATTTTTGGCGAGTTCTGACTGAATAGCACTTAGCATACTACCCTGATCCGTATCCATGTGTTCCTCCTTAGAGAAAAGGAAAGAAAAACACACCCTAATAACTGAGGCTTAAGTGCAGAATATTTTCAAGTGACATACACAGTACAATTCCTTTAAAATTTTACGCTTAATACAGTAAGAGAATTCCAGCCGAATAAATGTAATATTCAAGGATAAAAGCCCTAAATACCTTCATATTTCTATATTCTGCAATATATACTATTTACCTAAAAGTAATCTATACTGTAATATACTTAAATCTATACCCTTTCATTCAGCTATAAATTTGCTTAAGTATACTCTTAAGAAAATGTGGTCAAAGAATGTAAAAAGGTCTTTTTGTCTGTTACTATTGTAATTCTCTCCAATCCTATTCACTATAGAAAGATAATCATAAAGACTAGTAAAGATTATATGTGAGTCTAAATGTACCCAATTGAGCCTTAGCTGGTTTGGCTCGATGGATAGAGCATCATCAGCTTGCATAATGAAGGGTCCTGGGTTCAATTCCAGCCAAGGGCACATGCCTGGGTTGTGGGCTCAATCCCCAGTAGGAGACATGCATGAGGCAGCTGATCAATGATTCTCATCACTGATGTTTCTATCTCTCCCTCTCCCTCTCTAAAATCAATAAAAATACATTTTAAAAAATAATAAATGTACCCAATTGATTCTGTGAAAAATGTGATCTAACTTGCATAATTAAATAATAGTAAATCATTGCTAACACTCTATCATTTAGCACACACTACTTCTCAGTCACTGTTTAAAGTGGTTTACATATATTATCTCAGTTAATCCTCATAACAATCTTCTAATAAAATACTATTATCCTCATTTTACGTAAGAAACTGAGACACAAAGAAATACACTCAAGTTAACGCACCCACCACAGAGCTGAATCTAGGCAGCCTGACTCCTGATGTTGTTCTCTTCCCACCACTCAGGACACTGGATTCAGTCTACTTTTACCGAAAGGAGGAAGAAAGAGGAGGGGGAAGGAGGGAAGGCATAAATCCTTCCCCTGAGAAAATAAAAGAAATCAGAAAACATGGCCACAAACCTCAGCAAGTTGTCTCTGCAACTCTGCTATCTTCTGTTCATATATCATTTTTCTGTCAGACACGATGGCCATTAAGTTAAATCGAATCTCACCTTCGCTGTACCTAAAAAGAGGTCAAGTGTATAATGTCATAAAGAATCATAACACCATTACAATTAAGATAATCCGCGGTGATTGCCCCATGGTCCTCTGGGAGACCAGTCGGTGGTTCATGCATTGAGAGAGTCCACAAAGTAAAGATGCCACTTCTCCTCACATTGATACAAACGTTTCACACAATTTCTATCCAAGCCCCAGCAAGAATTTTAGTAGATACAAGCTTGCACTGGAATCTGCATGGAAGGGGAGGATCTATAACGGCTAGAACAATTCGCAAGCAAAGGAATAAAGCAGGAGGCGTCACTGTCCCTGAGGTCAAGTCTTAAACCACAGTAACCAAGACTGTGGAGCTGACAGACACACACATCAGTGGGACAGGAAGTGGACCCAGAAACAGCCGCACACGTACGCCCACAATTCTGTGCCAGGTGTGGGGGCAGCTCCGTGGAGGAAGGACAGCTTGCTCACCCAGGGGTGCTTGGCAGGTGAACAGCCACAGGCCGTGTATAAAAATTAACTCCAGCCGAAACCGGTTTGGCTCAATGGATAGAGCGTCGGTCTGCAGACTGAAAGGTCCCGGGTTCGATTCCTTGGTTGCAGGCACATCCCCAGTAGGGGGTGTGCAAGAGGCAAGTGATCGATGATTCTCTCGCATCGATGTTTCTAACTCTCTATCCCTCTCTCTTCCTGTCTGTAAAAAATCAATAAAATATATTTTAAAAAAAATTAACTCCAAATAAACCACAGACTTCAATGAAAACTGTTAAACCACAATAAGCCTATAAGAGACAATAACAAAATCTCTGGAATCTAGGGCTAAGGAAAGAATTCTTAGATTTGGCATTAACATACCATTCATAGTGGGAAAGACAATTCAAGGGGATTGAGAACGTTTGCTCGGCTGAAACCAGTTTGGCTCAGTGGATAGAGCGTTGGTCTGAGGACTGAAAGGTCCCAGGTTCGATCCTGGTCAAGGGCATGTATATTGGTTGTGGGCACAACCCCAAAAGGGGGTGTGCAGGAGGCAGCTGATTGATTTCTCTCTCACTGATGTTTCTAGCTCTCTATCCCTCTCCCTTCCTCTCTGTAAAAAATCAATAAAATATATATTAAAAAAAGAAAGACAGACCACGCATCAAAAGGGGGATGGGCTGCAGGCTGGGGCAGAGTATTTGCAGGCAATGTGCCTAAGGACCAGAGGTATCTAGAGTAGGAAAAGAACTTCAAGGCTCAACCATCAAAAAAGAATCCATCTAATTACATACAGAACAGGCAAAAGGCACACGTCGTTAGTCACTAGGGAAATGCAGATTCAAATCATGATGAAATATCATCGCCCACCAATCAGAACGGAAATAAAAACACAAATGCTAGCGGAGGCCGTGGAGAAACTGGATCCCTCGTACATGAAGAGTGGTAATGTAAAATGGTGCGGCCACGCTACCGAAGAGTTTGGTGGTTTCTTAAAAAATGAAACGTGCCTTTACCATACAACTCAGCAGTGTGCTGTTGGGCAGTGACCCCAGGGCAATGAAAGCTTTAGGTTCACACACAACCTGTCTACACGTCTGTTATAGCTTTATCCATAACAGCCAAAAACTGGAGACGATCCCGATATCCTTCAGGGGGTGAGTGGGCAAAAAGCGGTATATCCATACCACAGACTACTGTTCTAAAAGAATCAACTATTGATACACTTAACCTACAGGAATGTCTAGAGAATTGTGCCGAAAGGAGCCAGTCCAAAAAGGAGACTCGTTGCATGATTCCGTTTATCTAGCACTAGAGGCCCAGTGCACGAATTCGTGCACGCGTGGGGTCCAGCAGGCCCGCGCTGATGGGGGCTCATCGGGCCAGGCCAGTGGGGGAGATGGGCCATGGGCAGTTGGCTGGCCTGGCCCCCAATCAGGGTGTTGGAGGCCAATTGGGGGCCTGGCCGGCCAGGGGGTAACCTATCAGGGCTCGGATCAGGCTGGTTGGCTACCACAATGCGTGTCATAGCCACCGGTCGCTGGGCTTTTATATATATAGATTTTTTTTAAATGAAAAGTGATGTGGGGGGTGGCAGGGGAGGGAGGTGGCTGAGGCTCTACATGGGCACCTGAGCACTCCTGGGAATTTCTCGGTACCTTGACGGTGCCAACGTCAGTACCCTGGCCATGGCACTGCCATAGTTCTGCAAGGCGTCACCAACTGCAGGGTGAAGGGCACACAGGATCACTCTGCATTCTTTTTATAACTATCTCAAAACGTTTAATTTAACTAAGAAACATACGCTCAAAACAAAACTCTGCAAAGTAGCTGCATGAAACATCTGACTTGATGGAGATCTGCATTTAATTCCGCTAACAGGGCAGGACCTCGAGGTTTTCCGACACAGATTCCCTGAACCCAGGAATCAGAGGCAGGCAGACAGTGAGCACTGCTAACATAAAAATGAAAGTTTTCTTAAAACCAAACCAGGACGTTATGCGAGGGGCTTAGCGGGGCATTTACTTCTGTATTCTCTTCTCGATGACGGGCCTCACGGCGCTGATCCAGTCATCCTGGCTGCAGGCCCCTGGAGGGAGGGGGGAGATTTCCGTCAGCGAGTCAGCCTCAGCACCACTCCTTACCCGTGCTCCAAAGCACCTCTTTTTATAAAACACTTAGGCTGGCCAAAATCCTTTTAGCATAGCTGTGTTCAGCTTCCATTCTTATTTATTGAAATCCATACACTTTTGTGAAAGTTAACTAAAAAAATAAGGAATAGCCAAAACTGGTTTGGCTCAGTGGAGAAGAGCACTGGTCTGCGGACTGAAAGGTCTCAGATACGATTCCGGTCAAGGGCATGTACCCTGGTTGCGGGCACATTCCTGGTGGTGGGTGTGCAGGAGGCAGCTGGTTGATGTTTCTCTCTCATCGATGTTTCTAACTCTCTATCCCTCTCTCTTCCTCTCTGTGAAAAAAACCAATAAAATATATTTAAAAATGAAAATTAAAAAAAGAAAAAAATTAATAAATAATAAATGATGCAATCTGTGGGTTAACATGTTTTTCTCTTAGGAAAAAAATAAAAGGTCCCAACTGAACGGCAGTGGTCGGCATGCCCTTCCTATCTGCTGACGCCACGAAGGACCGAAGAGCGTAGGGGTGTCCCGATAGCGCCCTCCGTGGCCGCCACTGTCGCCATCCCCTCCAATCTCTGCGGCACGGAGGCTAGCACAGAGGCCAGTCCCGTTTTCTCCCGGCCAGGAGGGAAACGACGGGGTCAGGGACCGGTTACCTAGGTCGATCGGTCCCTCCCGCAGTCCGTCCAGCTCGTAGAGTCTTCCGTTCACGGGGACGTAGCTGACAAAGTGGAACGCATCCTCCTCTTTGGTCGGGGGCTTCGCGTCGAACTCAAACATCTGCTGTCTGCAGTGAGGAAGGAAGCAGTGAGAGGCAAGCGGGGCGAGGAGGACGCAGGGTCGGCTCGGCGCCGAGTCTCTCACCTGGCGAAGCTGTTGTGCACCTGTCGGATCACGTCGGAGTTGCTCAGCGCCAAACCTTTCATCTGAAAGAATGTGTAAAAGCCGCCCGGTTAAAATCAGAGAGACACCAAGAGGGCACCTTGGGGAGAAGAAGGTGGTACTCACAGCTGCATCGAAGCTCTGTGAGAATTCCTTGAACTCGGACAACGTCTCTCCTAGATGGACGTCTTGATGAGTGCAGTTCAGCAGCACACTTACTATGGCTTGCGTAGCACACGCATTGTTAATGACCTATGAGACCGAAAAGTGGAGACACCGTCAACTTGTTCGAAGAGCAGCCTGGCCAGCTCAGTGGTTGAGCGTCAACCTATGAACCAGGAGGTCATGGCTTGATTCCTGGTCAGGACATATGCCGGGATTATAGGTTCCAATCCCAGGGGGTGTGGAGGGGATAAGACCTCACCTTCCTCATCAGTGAAATGGTAGCTAGGCAACAATGTTTTACAGGGAAACACTACCAAACTGTCCTTCCAGGATCTTCACACACACACACATACACACACACACACTGATTATTAAATAATTTCTTCCCTCAACATTTTATTCATCAATGATCCAGACACACCTCCAACTAGAGCATATGGTTAGCCTCAGCCAGCCAGTGTTACTGCCTCTCTAAATGGATGAGTTGTGTGGGGAGCTCAATCATTTTGCGGAACGTAAAGGGGGTCCAAAGACAGAAAGCTGAGTACTGCTCCATTCCGAGCACATGGGGAAATAGAGTCCTGTCTTATAAGAAAGATTGTTCACAAGACACGGAGCACCCAAGGACCATACCTGCTTGGCAAAAAAGATTGTGTCGAGTCTGGAGTCCTGAACCACAGAGCCTGCTGGTTCCTCTCCTGGCTGCCACTTGAAAAGAAAAATTAGCCCGTGAACCGGCCTACAGAACAAAACGCAAGTTAGTGACACCACAGCCTGCTGCTGCTTAAACACACTGGCAGTATATCACATTTTACTCAGCTACTTAACCAATACAATACAAATGAAGTAAATTCAAATTTTTTTTAAGTTTTCTATTGCTCTTCAGTTGCTAGAACACTGCCTGAGACAGGCTAATAAAACTTAAAATTACAACGGTTAAAAAAGAGCCATAGTTGAAACCGGTTTGGCTCAGTGAATAGAGCGCCTGCGGACTAAAAGATCCCGGGTTCGATTCTGGTCAAGGGCATGTGCCTTGGTTGCGGGCACATCCCCAGTAGGGGGTGTGCAAGAGGCAGCTGGTCGATGATTCTCTCTCACTGATGTTTCTAACTCTCTCCCTCTCTCTTCCTCAATAATATATATATATATATATATATATATATATATATATATATATATATGGCCATAGTGAAAGGCTTGTTCTGAAATCTGCGGATTATTCATTTCTACCTTATATCACATAACTTAAAGGAAATAAGAATAAAGCAAAACTAGAAGAAGCTGCCAACCTAGGCAGAATTCCAATATACACGAGCAGACTGCAGCTCGGATGTCTGCAGATAAGTGGCCGATGGCACATGCATTATGAAACGCGGGGAGTCACTTTGTGTCACTCTCAGATGCACGAACGATCCTCATGCCAGTGCGAACGGGAGCTGTCATCCCGTACAGGAGGGGATCACCGCTTTCCTGAGGAACTGCTGTTGCCCGGGAGACACCCAATGGATCCTCTGGGACTCTCTCCAGTCTCTGCCTTCCATGCAGTGAAAATCTCTCCTATCCTTTGAAGCCAGTTCCAAGCCCCATCTTTAATTAACCTTCCCTGATAGCTCAGTGGAAACTCATCTCTCATTCCACCTACAGCGACTACGCTTTTTGTGGGGAAGGGGGCGGTGGGGGGAGCAAACCATCCCCTTCTCACTGTGAGAGCAGAGGCCGGATCCCAGTGGTCCCCGCTGTTCCCGTTAGAAGCCAGCTTGCCTCCAGCCACGAACGTGCCCACCTGTGAGAAGTCCCCTGCCCTCCTCCGTGATTCAGGGGCAGCGCTTGGAGGTGGCGAGGTGGGCGGTGAGGAAAGGCTCAGCGGGGTGGTTATACTCAGGGTGGGGGGAAGAGGAACCCGGACCACAGCCCTTTAGAAGCAATGCGATAGTGTATACGCAAGTTTGCATTGCTATGAATATGCATTATGAAATACACTTTTGTAGATGGACCTCTTATTCATGTCTCTTATGCTAAAGATGGATTCCATGTTCTAATCCACGATCTAGATGTGCATGTTGTAAAAACCAACCGATTACTTTGTTGGCATGGAATTGCAGGGACTTAGTTCCTAATCCGTAGCAAGCTCCTTATCTAGAAGCCTCCATCCGGTTCGTGGTTATAAAAGGAGAGTAGTAATTCAATCTCATAGGACTGAAAACACTTGAAAGAGATCGTGTATTCAGCTTAGCGTAGTCCAAGAAAAATAGACAAATGTTTGCTTACGTGGAGACAATTTTTAACGCGGCTAAAATGATACTCACTTTAATTTTTCAAAACTCTCAGGTTCTAAACTCCATATCTCTTCTACTTGGGCTCCTCGGCAACCTGAAATAAGAGATTGTTTCTTTAGAAAACAAAGCATGGACTCATTTTTCGTCCACCATTAGATATGAACTACAAGGTGTGCACACGTTTGGGGTGGTAAGACATGAGAAATTAAAATGGTAAAACTGACCAAGTTCACAGCCAAATCCTAGTCCATCCTGCATGATTTTCTAATCACCTGCAGTGGCAGTGTTTGCCTTTATAACTTAGAAGCTTCCAGAGTGTGCCCACCAACACGCCATTCACATCTGCACATCCTTCATCCACGTTTTTTGTTCAACCGCTAAGCTCTCTCAGCTCTTTCCCATGGCCCTCTGTTTTTCTTATTGTACATTTTTAAGTGCTAATACATAACTGCTCCAACAGCGACTTTCCCTCAAGTTTTATTCTATTCTATTTTCAACTACCTCAGGGTATGTGATGGAATTTGCCAGTGGAACAATTTTGACTGGAGTTGTCTCTGTGAAAATGTTTTAAATTACAATTTCAATTTCTTTAATAAATAAACGGTTAAAGGGTCACGTATTTTTCTTGATTGAGCTTTGGTAATTTGTATCTTTAAGGGAATTTGCGTATTTCGTTTTAAGTTGTCAGATTTACTGGTATAAAGATGCTTCCAATATCCCCTTATTATCTTTTTAATGTCCATAGATTCTATGGTGAGATCATCTCTCTTCTTTCTGGCATTGGTCATTTGTGTGTCCTGTCCTCTTTTGATCAGTCTGGTTAGAAGTTTATCCATTTTATTGATCTTTGAGAAACCGGCTTTTGGTTTCATTGATTTTTCTTGATTTTTGTTTTATTTTTTAATTTATTGGGATATTGGTTAATATGATCATATAGGTTTCAGGTGTGGGTTTCTACATTCTAAGATCTGTATATTGTATGGTGCGCCCACCACCCAAGGCCAAAATGAATGGCTATAACTCCTCCTCTCTAACCCGCCAATAATGGCTCCGGTCATTTTAAGAGACTTCTAGCTTCTCTCACTTCATTCCAATCTACTCTGCACACTACACATGGTAAACCTTCCTCAGCTATGACAAATGTCATTTCAGCATTCAAGTATCTTTGACAGTTAAGTCCTGCCGGGAGCGAATACAGAGCAACACAAACCACACAACAGAGCTTACCACCTGGCCTCAGTTTATCTTTTCAGCTTCAGGCGCAAATCAATACCCCTCCCAGCCCGTTAGATGATGCGTTAGTCACTTCCCATAAGCCACACGCTTTAACATCAGTGCTGTTTACGGTTTTTCCCCTCCGCCTGCGTTCCTGTAACATTCTTTCACACTTCAAGATAGCAATCAATATACTGCTTTGCGGTTCGCCACTTCTTTAGAGCAGCGGGCACAATTTATTCATATTAAAAATCCTTACCCCCGCCCAGCGTGGCTCAGGGGTCCACCTATGCACCAGGAGGTCATGGAAACCTAGGTCAGGGCACATGCCCGGGGTTGCAGGCTCCATCCCCCAGCAGGGGGCGTGCAAGAGGCGGCCGATCCACGATTCTCTCATCCTTGACATTTCAGTCTCTCCCTTCCTCTCTGAACTTAACCAAAATATATTTATTTTTTATTTTCACTTTTTAAAATATATTTTATTGATTTTTTACAGAGAGGAAGAGAGAGGGATGGAGCGTTAGAAACATCAATGAGAGAGAAACACCAATCAGCTGCCTCTGGCACACACCCCACTGAGGATGTGCCCGCAACCAAGATACATGCCCTTGACTGGAATCGAACCTGGGACCTTTCAGTCTGCAGGCCGACGCTCTATCCACTGAACCAAACCGGTTTCGGCATGAACTTAACCAAAATACTATATTTAAAGGGAAATCATCCTCCAGAGCCTACCAGTGCACCTGACACACCGTAGGCAAACAACATGCGCTTGGCAGCAAGGGGTATCCCCAATATGCAGCTTATGCACCCTGGGCAGTGCCTGCGCCGGCGTTAAATTTTCACCACGAGGACAAGTTTGAGCATCGCAGCTAGAATGAAAGAACGCTCCCGGAAATGTAACAGATTAAATAACAAACGCACTGCTGCGCCCCACCAAAAAAAAAAAAAAAAAAAAAAACTAGGAACAAGATGGGCAGGAAGCAGACCAAGAAGGTCAAGCGTGCTGCTGGCTATTCGGGTGGCAGACGAGGCAGCGGGCCAGGGAGAAGCGTGGTGAGGCCTCCGGGCCGGGGCACGAGCTCCGGGAACAAATGCTCCGCCGGAAGCGAGAGCCGCGGGGAGCGGAGCGCCGGCCCCACGCGGTCCCCCGCTCCAGGTCAGTCCCGATCGGCAGGACGGGGAGCCGGGGTTCCGGGGCGCGGGGTTCCGGCGGCCTCGGCACCCCGCCCTCCAGCGGCGGGCACACCCCAGCTTCTCCCCTGCGGGCCGGGCGGCCGGGGACGCGCACCTGGGCGCACCTGCCGGGACGCGGAGCGCGCGGCGAGGGGGAGAGGCTGGTGCTCAAGGGCGCGGAGGGGATCGCGGGTATTCTTTGCAATTAAACAAATAATGGGGGGCCGGCCGTGCGGACAACTCGGGGTGCCTGCCTGCTCGCCCGCGTGGGGTGACTCCCGGGATCTCTGCGGGAAACGCGACCGCCCGGGGCTGGGAAGGGGGCGGAGCTCTGAGTGTCCCCCTATCTCCTCCCCGAGTCCCTCCAGGTGCCCCGAGTCGCCGGCTTCTCCACGCGAAACCCACTCCGTGCCCGGCTCGGCCTCCTCCATGGCCAACCCCCCAACCCCCGCGCCCCGGCCCAGGACGGCGCCCCTGGCTCTCACCGAATCCTTTAATGAGCTCGGTGAACACGCCGGGGTCGCTCTCCATGAGGCACCACTCCCCGGCATTGCTCGTCATGGCCCCGGCCGCACAAGGCCGCCGCCCCCGCTCCACCGCCCTCGGTCGCTGGCCGCTGCCGCCGCCGCCGCCGCCGCCGCCGGCACCCGCTGCCCCGCCGGCCACCGATGCCCTGCGAACCCGCCGCAGAGCTCGTCCGCCCCACGTCACCCCGCCTACTTCCCGACAGCCTCCGCGGCCGGCCCTGCCGGGAGCGCGTCAGAGCGCGCGCGCGCGGACGCTCTAGCCAGCCGGGAGCCGGCGACTCTCTCTCTCTCTTTCCATCCTCAGGGCCGCGCAGAACCCGGAACGGAACCGGAAGAGGCGGGGCCTGTGGAGGCCACATCCGGGATTCGCGCCAATCCGGAGCGAGGGCGGGCAGGCGAGAGGGCGGGGTCACTCCCGGGAGCCGGACTTTGAGGCCCGGCGGCGGCGGCGGCAGCGGCGGCGGCGTGTGGACGGTCCGAGCAGGCGTCGCCCGTCAGGCCGCCGCGTCTTTTCGGTTTTCCCGTTGCTGCGCGGGGTTCGCCCAGCGGCGCTGCGGGCGGAGGACCGGCCACTGAGCACAGGTGAGGAAGCGGCGGGAGGCCGGCGGGGGCCCCCTTTGTGCGGTCCGGGAGGCCCCGAGGGCGCGCGGGCTCCGTCCGGCTGGACCTCCGGGTGCCTCACCCCGCATCTCCGCGGCCGAGTCCGAGCCGACGCGTCGCCGTCCCAGTCCCCCCGCCTCGCCCAGGCCACCGAGCGGACCCGGCACCGCGGCGGGGACGTCCCGGCTCGGCCGGGCCTGGGCGCCCCGAGGGCGGGCCTGGCGCCCCCGGGCGGCCCCTCCGGGTGCTCGCGCAGGCCGGCTCCACGGGGCCCGCCTTCCTCCTCCTCCTCCTCCGCCTCCTCCCGCTCCCTCCTCCCGCTCCCCTCCGCTCTCAGCCGGGAGGCGTTGCCGGGATCCGGGTTCGGGAAGGCAGACCGTGGTGGGGAGGAAGCGGAGCCGTGCAGTCGGGGTGGGAGGGGCGGGGATGGTGGACTGGACCAGGGGACGCCTCCGAGGGAAGGGAGGTTGCAGAGACCGAGTTCATCCAAAAGCACTTGTGGCGCCGAAACCGGCTTGGCTCAGTGGATAGAGCGTCGGCCTGCGGACTCTGAAAGGTCCCGGGTTCGATTCCGGTCAAGGGCATGTACCCTGGTTGCGGGCACATCCCCAGTAGGAGGTGGTGCAGGAGGCAGCTGATCCATGTTTCTCTCTCATCCATGTTTCTAACTCTATCCCTCTCTCTTCCTCTCTGTAAAAAAAATCAATAAAAATTTTTTTTTTAAATATCACAAATGCTCATTAAAATAAAATAAAAGAATAAAAGCACTTGTGATGCTTCCAGGATTCGATGATGAGTTAAACCCCAAATGGCCATTTTCACGAGATATAGCCTTCTTTCCTGAGGCTCTTGCAAGAACACTGGTTTTCAGATTGAAAGTCTTAAAGAGTCTATTCTATTCTATTTATAAATACAGTCAGTAAAACTGCAATGGCTATGGGTGGTTTTATTTTAGGCGGCTTTAGAAATATCGGGGGAACACCTTGTGAAGTATTCGACGGTCTAACCACTGTGCAGCACGTGCACAATATTGAATGTCATGAAGTTGAGACATTTTTTAAGCATATTTTTTAAAGTATGTTTGTACATCATTCCTTAAACCTCTTGAGTTCCAAGAAGGGCCTTTAGCTTCCAGGAGGAAAAAATAAAATGTTTTAGTGCATAAAGCTCTGATTCCTTGCTCATCAAACAGGTGACCTGCACGCAGGAGTTACTAGTGCTACGCGAAGCCACAAAGTAAAAACCAACAGAATGGCGTTTATATTAAGATAAGATGGGTATAATGGGGAATAGAAGGGAACATTTGTATCAAGTGTTTGAATTTATTTTTTTTAAACTGGAACTTTCTTGAGGTTTGCCCCTGGGAGAGTGGCCCTCAAGCTGGGGGCCTCAGTTCGCTTTGCCCTGTTCCTTGTAGTTAAATGGGAGAGAGTGTAGGGCACAGGGTCTGGCCTTACAGCCTTAGAGACCACACCTAGGAGTGTCCCCAGAACCCAAAGGCGTTGGTGGTCATCTGTCGTCTTTTTTATTCTGTAACACTTCATGAACTTGAAAGTGTTTTCGCCGAAACCGGTGTAGCTCAGTGGATAGAGCGTTGGCCTGTGGACTGAAAGGTCCCAGGTTCGATTCCGGTCAAGGGCATGTACCTTGGTTGTGGGGAGTGAGCAAGAGGCAGTTGATCGATGTTTCTCTCTCGTTGATGTTTCTAAGACTTTTTTTTTCTCTTTTTTTTTTTTATTAAGGTATTACCATATATGTGTACATACCTTACCAATCCCCACTGTTTCTAACTCTATCCCTGTCTCTTCCTCTCTGTAAAAAAAATCAATAAAATATTTTTTTAAAATACAAAAGTGCTTTCTTTTCTAAGTAAATGAAGTCAAAACTGACAGGTATTTGAAAACTAACCTCATTAGCATGGTGTCTCTTGAAGAAAGACCAGGCTGGAAATTTAGCTCTTGGTACAACCTGCAAATAATCTGAAACGGGGGTTAGAATTTCTTTAGTTTTATTGTTAAATGTCCTAAGAGTTGATTTTAAAATTCCAAATTTCTGGGTCTTTGAGGAAAATGAAAGGATCTGGCAATACTAAGTCTGTACCACAGGCTGAGGGTAGGCACCTTCAGGTGGATGCTTGACTGGATCCACTCTTGCCCATTCCCACCATTCCCAGTCTGAATGATAGTCCTTTGAATGTGTGGCTCCAGTTTTTGCAGTACTAGGTGTTTTGGGGTGTTTTTTGTTTGTTTGTTTTTGTTTTTGTGTTTTTTTTTGAGCCGTCTTGCACACTTTCTTTCATAAGTGTAAGTAAGCTCTTAAAAAAGAATGAGCTGACAACTTGTTTGATCTCTGGAGTGAAAGGTAGCATTTTCAAATAACAAATGAGTAAGAGACTTGAGAAAGAATTCAAAAGTGAATCTTTACTATGTAGGAATCTGTAGGAGTAATATATTATTAGTGCTGTTAAAAGATGCTATGCTGTTCTAATGAGTACAAATCGGAAAGAAGTGCTGTTTTTATGTATTGTGTGTTACTAGCATTCACTGACTGCATTCAGAGTTAAGCAACTAAGAAAGAGAAGTAGACAGTGTATAAAATATCCACAACCAATTTCAAGTTGTGGCCATGCTTTTAATATCGTGGCGATCTGCTTAATTTCTTCCAAGAAGTTTAACTTATAGAAGTTTAATACACCTTTAGCTTATAAATCCTTCAAAGTGGTGTGCTTTAAGAGCACTGGATAAATCAGGCCAACCCACTGAAGAACTAACTCTTCTTTAATTATTATTAATCTGGATTTACAACAATTGAGTATTCAGGGGTTGGGATAGGTGAGAAACAGATATGGGTTATTTAACCAGCAATGTCTGCTGAGTTATTCAGGGAATAAAAATCCTAAGATCTTTCTTAGGGTTAGTGACTGTAACTGCCCTCCCTACCCCTTTGATTATATCTATATGGGACTCCAGACCCCCTGCTGAGCTGTCTGCTGAATCTCTGAAGCAACAAGTTATAACTCAGAAATGTGACTTCTTAGTTGTTACTTCCGATTATCATAGTACCACTTACTGAGCTTAAGTATTTTTATGCCCAGCTGGTGTGGCTCGGGGGTGGAGTGTGGACCTTCAAAATCAGGAAGTTTGGTTCAATTCTCAGTAAAGGCACACACCTGAGTTGCAGGAGGCAGCAAATCAAATGATTCTGTTTCATCATTGATGTTTCTATCCCTCTCCCTTCCTCTCTGAAATCAGTAAAAAATATATTTAAAAATAATTTTATATCAAAAGATTCTATGGCAGATTTCAATAAGCATAGATTAATGTTTCCCTTTTTATAATTTTACTGTCTCAATCTAGCAAATAACATTTTGCCTTTTGTTAGGTTTCCTAAAAGTCAGAAAAATGGAGGACTCGATGAACCAGATGCAGCCCCTCAATGAGAAGCAGATAACCAATTCTGAAGATGGATATGTATGGCAAGTCACTGATTTGAATCGCCTCCACCGCTTCTTATGTTTCGGTTCTGAAGGTGGGACTTACTATATCAAAGAGCAGAAGTTGGGCCTTGAAAATGCCGAAGCTTTGATTAGATTGATTGAAGATGGCAGAGGGTGTGAAGTGATCCAGGAAATCAAGTCGTTCAGTCAGGAAGGCAGAACCGCCAAGCAGGAGCCCATGCTCTTTGCGCTGGCCATCTGTTCCCAGTGCTCCGACATCAGCACCAAGCAGGCGGCGTTTAAAGCCGTGGCCGAAGTTTGTCGCATTCCCACACACCTCTTCACGTTCATCCAGTTTAAGAAGGATCTGAGGGCAAGCATGAAGTGTGGCATGTGGGGCCGCGCCCTCCGGAAGGCCATCGCAGACTGGTACAACGGCAAAGGCGGCATGGCCCTCGCTCTGGCGGTGACCAAATACAAACAGAGAAACGGCTGGTCTCACAAAGATCTGTTGAGATTGTCACATCTTAAACCCTCCAGTGAAGGTAAGCTTAGCATCTTTAGTGTGTGTGGGGGGTGGAGGGGTGCAGATATTGAGTAAATAACAAATTTGTTTGATATGACAGTTGTGTCATTTCTAGAAATAGCCTTTTATTCTCAGAACATACTAATTAATTTAAATATATTTAAACCCAATCTGGAAACACCGACCACAGGCAATCCAGACATTAGTAATCAAGAACCAAATGACAGGGCACCATGCTAACAAAAACTCATCCAAATGATGATGGACTATGAAAGCAGCCTGGATGTGTTCACGTTGTTAGCAAAACAGCTCCTAGCCAGTAGGTGGCAGATAGCCGGGCTCTGTAGCCCCTTCTCATTTTTCCCTATCCCTGCCTTCCTAGGACACATTTTCCATGGAAACTCAAGGCTGCCCGAAATGGTGCTCTGAACTTAGTAATTCGGGGTGTTAATTATCTCCAAGCAGTCAACCAGGGAACATGGTAGCGTGGACCAGTTTTTCTCTTGTCTGTTGGAAGAGGTTTTTGAGAAGTTAGTTGGATCTAATTACTTTTTAGTCTTTCTTTGAAGGAAATAAAAACTTTTTTTTTTAATATATTTTATTTACTTTTTACAGAGAGGAAGAGAGAGGGATAGAGAGTTTGAAACATCGATGAGAGAGAATCATCGACCAGCTGCCTCTTGCACATCCCCTACTGGGGATGTGCCCGT